GTAAGAGTAGCTAAGATTCAGATGGGCCCGACCCGCGGAATACAACTTATTGGGCTGGACCAGTCGATCAAGGGGACAATTCCTTGAGATTGATGGAGATCAGATCAAAGTCGCGATGCACGGTATTCGAAATTATTTCGATCTCGAATTCCTACCGAGTCGCACGACTCAACAGTGGTGGGGACTCTCTCAAGGAACAATCAGAATCGCTCCCTTCCGAATTTACGGACAACGTGAGCTCAGCCTCCGCATAAGAGCGCTTCACAAACATTTTGCGATCGCGAACGAAGATGCTATCAGCGAGGAACTCCCCCTTTGAGTCGCTTCGACCCTGATACCCCGATTTTTCAAGCCGCCGATTCAGCGGAGTCCTGGAGCGGCCTCATTGATAAACACTGAACAGTCGAATCATCTTGAATGCTACGACATAATCGCTCCTGCTCGAATGGATACAAGTCTAAGTCCGAATCATGGGCTTTAATTCTTTAATCATCCTCCGCGTTCTGTCGAGACCTTCGGCATAAAATTTCACTGAAGCCCCCGGTACTTGGGAGAGGGAGCAGCTCGCCGAAATACTGAGTCCCACGAAGGAAATACATATATCGCACATGAGGCATGCTTCCAGCGATTACTTGTTGGATCACGAAGGTCAGACGGACTCTCAACCGAGAGGATTGGACAACCACATGCATCAAAAACATTAGCGGGATTTGAGGTCATACTCAAATTGACGATAAGGTAGTGACGTCGACACTACCTGCGCGTTTCTTTTTAAATTGCTCGTAAAACTTCAGCTTTGACGATGTGATGATCGATTCCCGCGCTTCTTTGCGCCGAGGGCTTCAGGAAAACTGAGCCAATCTTGTGGTGATTATTGGCCCTCCTCGAAAGACATCGAATTATAGCCGGACATGCGTCCAGACGCGATGGCCTGGGCTGGCCTAGATTATTCTTCCCTCCGTTTTACTGCTCGCGAGTATCTCCAGGTAGGGATGCCGGCGGGCGGAATCGAATTCGCCACAGGGTGTGATCCGCGTCGATTGTGGGGACAGATCCTCCCTTCTAGCACGGATATGGAGCGCGACCGGTGCTCGAGATTCAAAGGCGCACCGAGTCTTCTCGGCGATCCATCCAGGCATCCAAGAATACGTTTCCGATATTGCCACCGAGATGCAGTTTCTGGAGAACCAGCAGACGGCGTCCCGAGTCTGATTCACGGGCAAGCTCGAGCGCTGTCCACTTCTGTAGGAAGTTGGGAGTCAAGCTCAGGAGGCGCGAAACAAGGAAGGTCGCTATCTCCGGCAGTGCCACCCAGAAAGGATGGCCGGGAGCAATCGAGCTCCGATCTGATGACGTTGCTTCTCGTGACATCAGATCCAGTCATCACACAATTCCGAAAACCAGCGCAGAGTGGGAAGAGTTCCCCGGGTGCCGGAAGCTTGAGCTCTATTGAATTGCCCCGACAACCTCCAACATACTGTATCGAAACAGACCTGCAATCGGACAGCGAAACTGCATCAGTGGTCTCTGATCTCCCCACAGGTTCGGACGAAGACAGCTTCGCTTCGCTGATCTGGGTAGCCTGTGAAGACGACGAAGAAAAGGTTCAGCGATGAAATCGATCGAAAATCGATCATATCATACGGAGCTACGATGGGCAAATCGATGCAGCTATACAAACGTGTATTCAAGAACCGTATAATATCATTGTGTACTTTTCATTTCTCCAGAATAAAGATATTCGATTGATCAAAAAGCGATTCCTCCCCGTGAGGCTTCCATCGCCCAAACCGTGGAGAATTCGTCCGCCCGAACTTGTTGGTGTTGGTGGGGTCCCCCCTATAGAATGAAAGCGCAAGCGCTTCGTTCGTGAGCCGTTTTTCGGCTCTTTCTCCCCACCGATTCCGGCGCACATGTGATTCGGCGGTCGCGGAATGATCCCCCGGTGTGCAAGTTGAAGTTTATTTTCTCATCCTCTACCCCTCCGCCCAGTGATTGTGGGAGAACCCTCCCACTTAATAAAACTTTTTCGGGCTGATCCACACAGCCAAGGTTTAATGTCCCGGGTACTGTTATTCACATTGCTTCCGAGGACGGATCCATAGAGCCAATGTACCCAGGAGGATCAAGGCCGACTACCTGCATATTTTTGTTGACCACCCGTCGCTTCAACCCTCCTACTTGACCTCGAAACTCATGTGGTACGCTGAGCTTCGATTGCGGTTCGGAAGACACGAATTTAATTCTGTAGGGCGGATATCGTTGGGAAGGAATTCGGAAGAATCCGGACTTCCCGCGTGAGATATTCTCAGCTCAAGAATGCTCTCCGTGCAAACGCTCATGTTCGATGCTCATTCCGTTTCTAGGACAGTTTCTCGAGGTATCGTCGTTATCCATTAACGGAGCTTAATGTCTTGGAATATCTTTCTCTCCAATTCAGTGCAAATCTTCTCCGCAGAAGAATGTATAACTCGTAATCGGCAAACCTCTGACGGAAACGAGACTTCGCCGTGTCCGGCTTCCGTGAAAAAATGTCCGATGTGTGGTGAAATCGAAGATCTGTGCATAACTCAATACAGTGAAACCTGGGGTACACACCACCTCTATATACAATAAGACCTTCTGCCTCATGGGACCACGTCACCATGGCAGCGAATTTCCGGCCTTAGAGTCCCATGCATTCCGACGCGCATTACGATCATCTGAGCTACGAGACCGAAGACCAGCCCTTCCGGACACCGGAAGTGCTCATGACCTGTTCTATCGGACCGACTCCTGGCGCTCTCCTGCCGAATTTCGCTTCAGTTAGGGAGTTTTATGAGCCGAAGTGCGAGCTCTCCCTACAGGGACTAGTGATAATCCCAGCCCGCTAACGCCCTCGCTCGCGAGGCAGTCGTCCAACGCTCCGCCACCGATTTCGCAGCGCTTCCGATCACCATGTATGCGGCTGTCCATCGATCCGATCGCGGGAATGCTACAGCGTGGCGTCGGGGAAAGTTCTCGGAAGATTCGTGAGCTCTTCTGTATTCTGAGAAACGAATGCAGGATACCATCGTAACAGGAGAGCGGCAGGACAAACGACAGATACCCCGGATGCGTACCTTCGTAAGGAGCGGCGGGACCGAAATACTTAGGACCTCACGGGCATGTCCGCGATCCGCTCAAGAATGAATTAAATCATGCACTACTCATCTGATGAGGCATTAGTTATTGAACTGGAATCATGAGGGAAAAAATATATTGTCACGACTCGCATCACCTGCTCATTGGGAACACCCGCACCATCGGAACATTTTTGAGATTTCACGCGAGTGTTCTTATCAGACAGGTTTCACTCTAGCTGTGTAGGGAATATTGAAGCTTCCTTGATCATGGCCTTTCTGGACGTGGAATAGATCGCCTCATAGGGATCGTGCCTCGGTCTGCTTGATCGACGAGGCCCATGCTCTACCCTTCCGCCCCCTCAGGCGCTCAGAGGGTAGTCTCTGATCATGGATGGGAGAAAGAAGCACTGATTGAGATACGCGATAAGCTCGAATACGTTCCGGCGCGGCGGCGCCTCAGTGGAGGACGCCGGAGTACCTCTGCCTTGAATTCCATCTTCGCCGAAGCTTCCCCGTACCGGAGTGCCCTGAGGTCGAGTTTCGCCCGCGCCGTAGTGCCCTCTTGTCGAATCTTTCCTGCGTCAATTTGTCCTGGACCAACGTGCACGTTGATCAACCGTCGACAGCGCCACTCCGCGGGCAGCCGAAACAGCGAAGCCATTCCCCATTTTACTCTGTCGTCATCCTACTGACCGCGTGCTGCAAACAACCTTGTGAAGTCCACGGTCGATCGAAATGGTTGAGGTTAGTGGCAGGATTTAGTGCAGATTTTCTTCCCCATATTAGACCCCTCATCTCAATCGGATTTATTTGGCGTCTCTTACAATCTGCAACTATCGTCTCGGGAGACCACCAGGAATGCTGGATAGAATGCACGTGCGCTGAGGATGAGACATCATGTCATTTGTCTTCGACATGGTCCGTCGATGCCGCGGAGTCATTTTTTGAAGAGGTGGAAATTCTTCGGCAGTTCCCTGCAGCTCGGGCTGCACGTTTTCCTGAGTTTTTCAAGACGGACGACATTTTTTTGTGCAATACAGCATTGTGTTGCAAGACATTGTTAATCGAGCGTCAGTGAGTCTGTGAGGGAAAGTGTGATAGGAGCGATTCATGCGGGGCATTCGATCGACCAAGACGGCCGGGTACTGGACTCGAGCGGTGTACCTAATTAGACCGTTAGGCTGGCCATAATGACTGAGTGAGAGAATGAAAAGATCTACAGTCACTAAGAGAGGTTTCTATTCCAGATGTCTGTTAACGATCTCCGAATGGAGCTCGATTTGCTGGAGGTATGAGAGCTTCCCAGGCTTCAAGCCTGAGTATCGCCGTAATGATCATCGAGCTTCGCATAGTCCACCTAATTAGTGGCGGATTTACCCAGAAGGCTTAGTAGGCTATAGACTGGGGCGGCAGATTTCAAGAGGCGGCGAGTTCCCACTTGGGGTTCCTGTGATTCTCGACAATTCAATGAAGTCATTCGAGACGACGACGGGGACGTCAACTCTGTTCTTGTGCTTGAAGCCATCAGGTTAATGGCGGAGAGCCGACTCGAAAACGAGCGGCGAGATTTCATTTATTGCATGATCCATGAGATCATACCCGATCAACTATTTTGAAAAGGAACTCTCCTTTCTCCTAATCTGGGATCGACTTGGAGAGTACAATTTCCAACTCTGCGGATCCAACAGGCTCTTCGTGGAATAGAAAAGAGATCTTGGAAACTTGGTGCAAGCGCCGGGAAGAATCGGGATACATTGCCAGATAGGTTGTATCAGGGCGGCGGTTCTGATTGGGCCTGGGGGCGGCAAACTCTCGAATCCGCGAATTCGTCAATCCGCCGCTGCATCTTATCGAACACCTACTGACTAACGGTGTCCCCCCTCGCAGCAGGATATTATGAACCTCACATCAATGATTGAGAACGAGGAGCTCCGTGAGTATCGCTTCATGATCGAGGACCCTCTTGAAATCTGAATCTATGGCCTGAACTCGTCGGTGGAAGACGGCTTGCAACCCATATCTCTCCATCGCATGGGACTCGTACTAACAGGTCTCATGTTTGCAGCGGGGCCGAGGCGAGATCAGAAAAGGGAGGAGACATATCTTTTCGTCGCGGGTACAAACATAAGCGAGGCCTCCTCCGCAGCTGAAGTGTTCGAGCTCATGCCCCACTCGATCATGGCTTTAGAAGCGAACAACGTGGTTTACCCTAAACCCCTTCAAAGAGCCGCGTGGCCGGTCCTGCTGCAGGATCTCGATACGTTCCTCGTGGCGCCTCCCGGAGCGGGGAAGCAGATGTCTTTAGTCCCGATAATCGTGGATAAGGCGCAATACTCGAGGGTGATCGTGACGTCGCAAGCGCAGAGTCGTTGTCAGGAGATCAGGAGCGCTCTGCTGTTTGCTCCCTCGGTGAAAGCCTTTCTGACTGAAGGAAGGTACCAAAACGCGAGTGCCAACGTGCTGTGCTGCACCTTCGCGGCTTTCCGACGTGTCGCGAGACGCGCGCGAGCGTCCGCTTTCGTCCTGGATAGGATCGACTGTTTGGCCGAGCAGGGCTTGGGCGATCAGCTCCTAGACATCCTCAGCGTCATCGCTCGCAACCGGAGGGGTGTGACGATTCTTGCAACTGCTAGATTCCTGAACTCGGCAACCCTCGATCTGGTCGAACACTTGAGGTTCGCTGCCGCTGTAGGTGCGGCTCGAGAGTCCAGCATAGAGGAGAAAACCTGCACCGAGAGCATAGAGGTCTGTCGCCGCAAGAACTGGTTCGCCGTCGTCGGGAAAATGTTGGGTCGACAAAATGGCGTTCACGACGTCACGTTGATCATCGTGAGGAACCGATCCACAGCGAACACGCTGGAAACGACGTTGTCCAAACAAAGTTCAATGTAAGTCGAGCAGCTCTTGTTGTCGGCTCCTCTGATGACCGTGAGGACTCGCAACATCGGGTCTCTTCCATGGGGAATAATTCTCCTTTTCCCTCGACAGCTACGCTCAATCGCTCCACGGAGAAGATCACTGCGATCAAGACCTGGCCAGAGCTCTCCTCCTGGCAAGCAGCCCGGGCATCTACATCGGAGTCCCCACAGACTTGAGCTGGTTACAGGAAGCTGACAGGTTGGATCGGAGTCCGCAGAATTTTTGCGTATTTCCTGTCTCTATGAACTACTCCGGTGCATATGGAGCAGCCGAGGGCTTTCGTGGGCGGTTCTAAGGATAGCCGCGTGCCTGGCAGTAATTTTTCGCGACAGCCCCCTCTGAGTTTGTAGAGCCAAGAGCTCGTGATGATGATGCGCCTTCCGAAGGAGCGCGTCAACTGGGCTATAGCGTCAACTGGGTCAGACCGTCAACTGGGCTACAAGTTCATTGGCGAATATAATGAGAATCTCCGGAGCGAAGAGAAGCTATTCTGCGAGAATTTCAAACCCATCAACGACGCTTCACTCATTCCGGAGCGCCTAATGATTCTTCTCTGGGAGCTCACGTGTACGCACGAGAATCTATGGGTGCGATCGATTCTGCGGAGACCCCGCTCGCTAGACGTCTGGTGTGGGATTCTTTCAGAGACAGGTCAGTACGATCTACCATGCATATATCACCGAGTTCGAACCGAGCTGCGAGCCCGGCTATTCGTCTTACGCTGATAATTCATAACAATGATCGCGGGAATATCGCATGATAAAGGATGATGTCTTCCAGGTGGAGAAGCTGCTGATGTCTCTCGTTAGCGTCTCCTTCTCTGCATCCGATCCTTGGTCGCTCATCAAAATGGTCTGGCCCAGTTGACGGTCTGGTCCGGTTACGCTATGGCCCAGTAGACGCGCACGGGCTTTCCGAAGTCATTCAGCATTGGCACCGAAAGAAATTACGGGATCCAAGCCTGGGGTTTCGGTATCATTGCGGGCCGCACTCGAGCGCCGTGGGAGGCCGTGGGCCAGGCTAGGAATTCTCTTCAGCAACATGCGCGCACAGGAACGGTGAACGCAAGTGTAATGACGGTTCGGGTAGATTGGCTGGGACAACAGCATGAAAGGAAACCTCGCGAGCTTTGAGCAGACACCTCGCGAGCTACGAGCAGAGACCTCGCGAGCCACGATTTCGACATCCCTAGTCATGCGTGCTAAGGGATGTTACGTACCCATGAATAAATCAAGGAATGATGAGTTCTCTCATGGAAGCCGTGGTGTCGCATGATTAGGTATCTACAGCCAAATAATGATAGCTTTGAGGTCGGGTAGGCTTAGAGCTGCAGAATTTCCCTTCAGTCTGATCTGATAGGTCGCATCGAGACTGCCTCTCTGAGGGTTTTGTCCGACTCGATCTCATCTGATTCCATCGTTCCCCTCTCACGCGCCTCTCACCTCTTTCGGACCCCTTTGTGGCAGGCTATCGCAGTAGCATCCCGGCTTCCTTATCACACCTACCAGGAAAATTCACTGATCTCGCACTTCCGTGTTTTCCAGGGTGGACATGTTGATAGACGTTGGGACCTCGCTCTGCTTGAGTGCGTTCACGATGCGGCAATCCCGAGTGAAGTCATCCGGCATCTTCGTCAGTCTCCTCAAACCGTCCAAACTTCGCGTAGTCACATGGCTTGTCCCCTTGCTCCGGAGTCGTGGGAGGGAGATCTCGCACGAAATCGAGTACATGTTCCTCGCGACCGAAATCCTGCAGGAATCTTTGTTAGAGGAATAAAGTGAGAGTTTCGAGAATCTCAGAGGAGCGTCGCCTTCCGTGATCTCAATCGACTGATATTCAGGTCAACTCAGCTCCGGAAACCGCGGGAATCGAGGAATTTCACGCAGACTTATCGCACCCTGGGGACCCCACAACCGATATTTCGCCGATCTCGAACGGAAACTCCGCTCTCTGGAATTGATTGCTTCACATAAATTCATCTTCTGCGCTTGGAATCGCTTTAATGATTCGGATATCTGACATTATTATTTCGAGATCTCCCATTGTGCGTTGCTCCTCTTATTGTCAGTCGACGGGTGCCCCGCATCTCTGGCCCACCTCCTGGCCGTCGGCTATTCTCGAAACATGGGTCGCCGGCCTCTGTGAATCAGATCCCAGTGGCATTTACCGCGCAAGCGTCCACGCTGAAGAAAGCTTCCGCTTCAACGGAGATCGCAAAACCTCACTTGTCGTAAACGAAAACTTTTGTAGAAGATCCCGAGGCGGGCCGACCTGCACGGCCCCATTTCTTCACGTTTGGCGAGATTCACGCCGAAAGACTGTCGGGGCAATAACCCTGCCGGAGCCTCGGGACGTTCCGTCGGATTTGCATGCGGGAAGAATGAGATAATCAAGTCGACTGAATAGGGCTAGGCAATGAGGCTGAACGCTCTCCCGAAAGCTGTTGCTCGATGAAGTCTAAAAGTTTCACTACGGTGCGGTGCCGGAAGCTCGAAGTCCGCCGTGCACGTGGACGTAATTCAAGATTCCACGGAGCAGCACCTTTCGTCGCCCCCAAAGTCCATCTCCGAAAGTGCGATCCGCTCCGGTGATTCCCCCGAGAATTCTTCGGCATCACAAGCCTCGGCCGGATTGAGCGGTGAAATATTTTTGGAACGGTCATGCGTACCGGAGGATGGTCGAGTGGTTAGCGCGTTTGTCGCTACTCGTGCAAACGTGCGTTTCACTTCGTGAAATGCCGCAACGACGCCGCTCGGGCGGGAGGCGGTGTGGGTTCGATCCCTGCTGCCGGAAAAATATTCCTTACGGAGACGCAGGTACTCGGTATCGATCCCCCTGGGCACATTTGCTCTATGAATCCGTCCTCGGAAGCAATGTGGATAACAGTACCCGGGACATTAAACCTTGGCTGTGTGGTTCAGCCCGAAAAAGTTTGGAACGGTCATGCGTTGTCATCGAATACCGTTTCGCATCGATCGCCGGCGTGTCCTTGACAATATATCATCAGTCGTTGCTCTTCGGAAATCGCAGCGCAATGAGTGCGCGAATCGCCCCTCGTACTTGAATCAGAGACCGGTTGTTTCGTGCGACCGCCCGGAGAACATGATTGCAGCGCTCGCAATGGTAACGTTTTAAATTCGTTCTTATGGCAAAGGGCTCCCCGGCGATCCGAATGCCAAGAATCACGAGATAATTCGCAGCGCTGTTTTGTTCATCAAAAGACTCTCCGATTCGTCTTATCTCCGAGGTTGCTGATCTCCTGCGTCCCGAAATATACATGAGCACAGAGCAGAAAGTCATTCCCGAATCGAAAGGTCCTAATCGATTCGGAAAATGATCAGCTTTCAGAACATTCCATTTCGACCGCAGCTCATCGAAAGAACGACACTGTATCAAGGATCTGCTTGCGGTGATGTTGCAACTATTCCCGGTAGCGTTCCAAAGCATTCGTCCGAAGGTGTGGTGGGCTGTGTGTATCGTCATTGGCATGGATCTTCGCGTGATTTTCTGTATCGTCTTTCTAGGCGCTCCGGAGCTGGTCATCAGGGTCGTTCTGAGTTTGCGAACGATTTCGAACGCGTGACATGACGCGTCGTCTGTCTTATTTCGACTGACGGCGGCGATGATTGACCTGACACGTAATCCACGAAAAAGCGTGACGGGGGTGGAAAATTCGGAAGATCTATCTCATTTCACGGATGTCGTTCTGATTTCCGTGGTGATCTTCGCGACAGACTCCGAAGCCATGCTCCGCATCCCCTATTTTCCGCCTGATCTGAGTCCTTCCTCGTCAGCTCGAGAAGAGTCGCGACTTGCAAATCAGTTGAGTTTCTACTCTGTCGAGAATGTTCCCGCAAAGGGAATTCGACAGCCCGGCAAATTTTAGGACTTCCAAGAGCGGGAGATAGTGTCACATGGAACATCGAAGCCCAATCTTCGTTCCGACGACTATCGGGTGAGCTGCCCCGTGTAATCTACTTTCTGGAAGTATTTCCTAAATTTTACATCATCACTCGACCGCAACTTCCGCAATTTGTGTGAATCGGATATTTCTGACCTCAAATCGTTTCTTGAGCCCGAATGGCGGTGTAGGGCGACAGAAGATTCAGCAGCGACCCGACGATTTTCCAACCGTGGGAAATCGAGATCATTGTTGTTTTCAAATTTCCGTCATCTTATGCAATATCGTAATAGCTGTGGTAGGAAGCGATCGATCGTTGATCTGGGTGGTGCAGGTGGGCGACAAATGGATGCAAGACTTGATTTTGGTGTAAGCGCCCGTGTCCTTTACAAAACTTTCTGCTTCGTAGCCGGCACCCGTGTACATTGAATGAATTCTCGGCTCTTGCCAAAAGGCCGCTGCGAAGCATAGGATCGACGGATTTCGGCTACCAGATACAAGATCACTGCGCAACGCAATGGTCGTAGGATTTCCGCGGGATTTCCTAGACACGGTCCCACGCTTCTTTTCTGACGCTCAATCAATTGCTGGTCGAGATAATCTCAGACGCACAATTGGCAATCTAAGGAGTTTGCGTAAGTGTGCCGCCGCCATCTGCCATGCAAGCAAGTATCAGCACTCCTTATGGATCCGAATGCTGAAGCCTTCTGGATACTCCGAAACCCAATCTGCTCATGCGACTCAGTCAGTGCATCCCAGGCGGTGCCGCTCGTGACGGCAAACTGATTCTGCAGCACATCGCTAAGGTTTCTGGTTCCCATCGGTATCCGGAGTCTCTCAAAACGTCCCAATTTCCTGGTGATTCTTCTGACTCGTTTCCGGGTATCGGCGGGAAGTCACAGCCTCCTAGGATTCTGCGTGATTCGAGCTCTGACTCCTTGTCCGTGAAATATGACGAGAGTTCTCGCGCCAGAGAGATAGCGATCTCATGCAGGTACTCCTCCAGGAAGCGTTGGAAATCAAATCCGAGACATTATCCCGAGAATGCCGACATGCTGCCCGTCTTTCGGATCACGGTCATCGAATTCCTGTGAGATGACGTGTCGCCCCAAACACCACGACAGAATTTGACCAGGATCTCCGATTGCGGCTAGTATGGGAATCATTGCGGGAAGAGAGGGCTACTGGATACCTTGATACTCGCGAACGGAATCGATCCTACCCGACGGTCGATTGCAACCGACCCCCATTATATTTTTTTCCTTTTCAACTTTCTTGCTTCCTGCAGGAAGATTCGATAATTTTGAAGCCTTAATACTCCTCTTGGAGCTCAGTTCCGCGGTTTCTGGTAGGCTGTGACAAAACCCCGAACAGCGGATCGTCGATTTTCAGAGGGATATCGATATGTGACGTGATCTCAGCGCGAGCTTCTGTCGGTGTTGTGGAAAATGAAGAATCCCTTATGAAGGTGTCGTTAGGCATTAGGCATGCGAGGCCCGGATTCCGAGAATGACTGGTCGCCGCCCCCTTTCGCAGAGCCTTCCCTCCTTGCTGGGTTCCTGAGAAATTCGGTTCGGGGAGCATTGGCAAGACTCGCTCGGTCGGAAGGGCGAAATCCCGACCGGTTCACGTAGAAAGCGCCATTGTTTATCGGATCTCCTTCATCGTTGCAAGGCAGTACTTCCTCGTCCCAAGCCAGACGAACCTGCGATCTATTTTATGGTGTACAATGTGTCGATATTCATCGGAGCTACGAGCTTAAGTATGTTCGGGAAAAGCATGTGAGAAGCGAAGAACACCGAGCGAGCTCCCTCGACGGAAGACTCGGCGCATTCATCAACAGAGAGCGATCCTCTCTTCAGTCATTTGAGAATCGTGCTCCGGTCCAGTGCGGACTCGCCTTAGGATCATATAGACCGATGTAATCCTTCCTTGACACCGAAACGTCGCCAGCGGAGAAGCATTTCTGAAAAAGTCTCATCCCACATACCTGTTGCTCAAAGTCGGGGTTGGGACAGAGACTTAAAATAAGACGCTGGCGAGGTGGTGGTAAGAGATATTACGCAGAATATCTCCATTCTCATCCAAATTCTGAAAGCTCATGAAGATCTACGACCATCCCTCAGTTTCCGTGAGATTTTCGTAGCACGCCCCGTTCGGCCCGCGAAATCAGAAGTGCGCTGCCCCCAACGACTCGTCGGGGAGCTGTCTATCTGATCCTCTTCATGGTCTGCGTCTCCATGCGTTCCGAGTAACGGTTGTTGTTCGATCTCCTCTGGAGCGTTCGGTGATTCATGAAGTTTGTCCCGTTGATGGCCGCCAGTGGCCGCTCAAGCCAGAATCCTTTCCTTCTCTCGCGGTGACCTTGACGCTGCCCTGGTGGGTCGGTCTTCACGTCGTACGTATTTAAACGAATGTCTGGACCTCGAAGTGGACAATCTCGGAATGAAGGTACGGTTGCCCGTGTGTTTAGCTCAGTCTTCTTGTGTGCTCAGCTAGGATTCTCAATTACGTGGAAGCAGGGCTGTGTTTCGAGACGCTATTGTCAGGCAAGCGAATAACGGTTTTTTGAAACCGTTCAAGATCGTGCGCGTTACTCACAATCGACGGATACGGTGCTCGAACATGCCGTTGCTGGAGTTTTGGTGTCTGCGCGCGGAGATGGAAACGTGGAATTCGTTTTTGAGGCGCGAGTCCCTCTGGACCAATAATCTGACTGATGGCGTCGAAGGTCTCCCAGAAGAGTCCATATTTCGAAAGTGGTGGACTCAGGTTCAGTCGACTCTTCTTCCCGCGATTCGCGGAGACGGTTTATTTTCTTCGAGAAGTCGCTGCGCCCTTCTCGAGGCTGCGAGGCTTCTCCTCGCCAAATGTATGTCGGGACATCCCCGAATTTGACGCAATATTCCCCCTCCATCTGATCATAATGGGGACCAGGCGTTTGATGACTTCCGGAGTAAACTTCACGTAAATCCCGAGCGATCGGATTCCGTTCCCCCAACTATCAATCCGACTGAGACTGAACATGCATTCTGGGACACCGCGTTGATAGAACAGTTTGACGTGAAAATCATTATAAACCATTTGATCCCACGCGCACTCATTGTTACGGCAAAGATCACGATATCGCGTAGCGGGAGCCTTGTCAGAATACGGTTTCTGTGTCCAGCATACGACTCAAAATAGGCGACCTGCTGATATTTCGCTTGTGAATCGATCTATTTGCTACCGAATTACCTTGCCGTCGGCGCAGGGGTTTAACCGCTTACGGTTTGTGTACGGAATTCACCCGACTGAGTTTTCGTGAGCTGAGTTTTGAGCCGAATCGCGCTTTGACTCGTTCGGATGCCAACGCCTCGTCGGGCTTCATTATGCTCCCAGAAGAAAAATTCGCCCATCGGAATCCTCGAGAAAGCCGACAAAAGTTCCACAGAACCCGCGAACCAACTTCTTTGGAGCCTTGCCAGGAATTTCGCGAGTTCTCGAAGTCAAGCCTTTCTGCCATCGATTGAATCCTCGCCGCACCTTCTTGTGGGGATATTTTTGGGTGAGCATCCTCTCGGCATGGTTCGCGGCTCTGTCGAAGGAACCGGAGACGAGGAAACTCTGTCGGAAGTCGCGCACGAGAATAAAGAGTCAAGGTTTGTTCCGGTTCGGCCAACGCCTCGCTCAGTTTTCTGTCCGTTATCGACAAACCGCAGTCGAGGTGCGTAAGTGAACTGATCGGCATAGCACCAGTGGCGGCGAGTTTGTCCGACTTTCAGGAAGTGACCAACTCATCTTCTGACAGAAGCCACCGCCTTTCCGTCGCGTCTTCAGGGTCAGATCTAGAAACGGTTTTCGACGACGACGCTACGGCGACAACGATTTCTAGAGGCGGATTTCAGCAGCGAATGTTTGACTTTTTCGCAAGGCCGCTCGACGACTATGCCGACATGCTGCCCAGTACTGTTGGTACTGCACTGAGCGGGCCGATGCTGTTTTCTGTCGTGTTACGCACATGTTGGCGGAGTTAATGCATGAGCATGAAGTCGACGAAATAAGGGCCGGATAAGGCCAGAAAATCGGAACCCACAAGGACGGCGATCTGGATTGTTGAAAAATCCGAGCGGATTCCTCTCCGCGGCGCTAAGGACAACAATGAGTTTCTTCTGAAGAGCGAAACACCCGACAACAAAAGACGTCAAAACGATTTGGACAGCAGTGCATTTCTGATCAGCGCACTGATTCACTGCGTTCGCAATTAGCGCGAAAGTGGAAGAACAAACAAAACTCGGGAAGGAGCCCGCACTTGGACTTTCGTTCATTCATTAGCGGTTTCGCTCGTTTGCAATTGAATCCACTCCCGAAGTCTGAGAAGACAGGCGGGACCCCTGCGGGCCGCCATCCCAGATGCCGACATCGTAAGAGACACGGCCACGTAGACCCTTTGAGCGGGACTTTTCACCCTGTAGAACTTCATTCCTAAGCTTGCTAATTTCGATAAGAGATACTAGCCCGAGAGCGGGCTAGAGTCGCAGTGACATGAGCTTCCGGCAACGCTCCTCATCCCATTCCTTTCCTCAGGTGTTTCTTACATTAGCGTGCGCCTTGGCCGCGGCAAAGGCCGGCGTTGTGGTGCCGAAGGTGCACGAAGAGGGTGCTTCGGTGCAGTACCGGAGCGAAGACGTAAGTTTTCCGGACATCGAGTCGCAATCCAATCACGGCTCTCCGCCTCTCTGATGACATGGAATTTATTGGGTCGAGCATGCGCTTCGATTCGTGTGGTTTTGGGCGAAGCCATTCAAGGCATCTAACTCGAACGCCGATTTCCAGGGTCTCGGCAATTATCAATTCGGATACGATGAGAAACACACAACCGGTGGCTCGTTCCGCAAAGAGACCGGCGATGGACTGGGTCGCAAAATCGGATCCTACGGTTTGCATGATGCCGACGGTCGGGTGCGTGTCGTCAATTACGTAGCGGATGAGCACGGCTTCAGAGCTGCCGTGCAGTCGAACGAGCCCGGTGTCGCCCCCGAGGATCCTGCGGCCACGACCATCAACAAAGCCCCGGTCGCTGTTCCCTACGCAGCTCCTATGCATCTCGACCACGTGACGGGCATCAATGTCGGTCTCGCTCATTCTGTCGCCGCCCCTGTTCTCGGCGCGTATTCCGCTCCGGTGGCTCAAGTCTCCGCTCCGATTATCGCTCCGGTCGGTTATCATAAGCAACCGATGCACTTCAGCTCGGTTTTGGGGCCTTCGGTGTCCAACCTGATCGGTGGTATGCCCGCGCACATCGGTTCGTATCTTGCGGCCCAAGCAGCCCATCCTCTGCAGAAGGCTATCGCCTACAATGCGCCGATCGCTCCCGTCCAGCCCTATGCGCCTGCTCACACTTATGCGCCCGTTGCCGCCGCCCCGGCGATTCCTGCCGCCCCCGTTGTCTACAAAGCCCCCGCGCATTTCGGAACCGTGGTCGGACCGTCCGTCGACCACATGCTCAACCACTACGTGCCTCAGCACATCGCTGCGCAGAAATTCTACCGATCGCTACACAGTCCCGCCGTGCACTATCAAGAGGCTCCCGTAGTTTCGTCGACCCTTGAGGTCGCTCCCGCCGCACCTGTCGCCTCAGCTGTTGTGGCCCCTGTCGCCGCCGCCCCTGTCGCGTCTTACGCTCCTGCAGCCGCCTATGCGGCTGCCCCGGTGGCTCCTTATTCTGCGGTTCCCGTGACTGCTTACGCCACTGCCGCCCCCGTCACCAAGTACGCTGCCGTCGCTCCCGTAGCGAAATACGCCGCGGCTCCGGTCGCTTCATACGCTGCGGCTCCGATCACATCGTACGCCGCAGCTCCAGTTGCGTCATACGCGAGCGCAGCTCCCGTGGCCTCGTACGCTCCTTCCGTGTCGTACGCTTCTGCACCCATTCGCTCCTACGGCGTCTCAGCAGCGCCGGTGTCACCTGTCATCGGGAAAAGCCTGGCCTACTCAGCTGCCCCTGCTCTCGTGCAGAATCAGTACGCTAGCGCCGCGTATGCCGCCGCCCCTGTAGCCGCTGCTCCGGTCGTACAGAAACAAGTGGCCTACGGTCCCGCTGCCCTGGGTTACGGAACGTCTCACCACGCCTACTCGGGTCCAGCAGTTGCAAAGGTAAATACCTTCGGGAACAAAATTTTCAGAAATGAGTTCCCCCGTTCCCTTCTTCTACTGAGCATGAGAGGATTACTTGGTGATGACTTGTCGGGTGTTCGGTTTCCCCTCCTAAAAAAGATCTTCCAGATTCAAGACTTCGCCGGGTACGCTCCCGTCGGAGAGTACATCGGTTCCCATGAGGTAACCTTCCCATACGGTTAGTTGGCCGCAGTAAGACTCGGAGCCCAAAGCGAGAAAGTAAAATGCATTCGATACTATAGGTGTCTCCCGGTTACGCCTACGGCCCGGTCGCCGCCCCCGCCTACGCTAGAGTGTCGGCTGCCTACGCCGCCGCTCCCGTCACAAAGTTGGCTTCTCTACCGACTTACTCTACACCAGTTTACGCAGCTCCTTCTGCGAGCCGACCCATCTATAGCTACGGACCTCTGAGCGTTGAATCGAGCATCGCCAAGCCAGCTGTGTTCGCCGCTCCAGCTTTCGATGAGCCCGCGCCGTTGGCAGGGCCCGTCGCCGCGCACGCTGTTCCAGCCGGGCCTTTGGTTGGAGCATCGCTCGCTTCTACCGGTGTCTCTTCCGTGACAGCAAACGTCAATGGTTACACCCACGAGCTCGTCAAGCCGAACGCTTACACCCGTGTATACCACTACATGTATGGACATTCACCGTCCTTCTATGGATACTCCTATTCGCCGGTTCCTCTCGGCTACAGGAAAAAATGAGAACTTCCTCCACATGAGTCATGCTATTTGATTTTCCGGTTCACCGGTAGACATAGTCTCCGAGTGATCCTCCGTCACTGATCACGCAGCATGGAACATCCGACTCATTCGTCAATAAACGTCTCATTAGCTACGTGTGTTTCAGATGTGATTTATCCCAAGTTATGTATATTGATGATGGAAATAAACTCTGAGATGGACGCTCGCATAATTTGTGCCAGTACTCGACTCCGGCATTTTTCTTCGCAGTCTGTTATCCGCCGGGAGCCTCTGAAGTCTTACAGGATTGTTCGATTCCGTCCCTCGTCCACTTTACGAGTCTCGAATCAATTCTGTGTACGCCAGCGCCACTCGATCGCTTGAGCAACAAAGACCAAAGCTCTTCGAAGAGGTTTCCCATTGTCACGGAAAAATGTCCGAGATTCCTTTGAACCTTGAGATCGCTTACAATGAGTCAGATTCTGAGGTGAGCTCTGCTCAATTCATTCAGCATAGCGTGGAGGTCCGACTCGAGTACGTACGAAGGTATGGTATCCTCTGCGAGCTCAAGCTCGGGATCATATTATGATCGTATAGCGCGAAATGTCGGGAGCAGAAGGTGAACGGTCAATCGCCCTTTCTCCCTGCATCTCAAGACGATGTTTATTTGAGACCTGTTAAGATGGAGATTCGTTGACCCTGACTGCGCATGTCTGGAGTCTGGACTACCATATATATATTAATCGTTATTCTCCATAGATTAAATCACTTGTCATTTTCGCCCTTATCATCGGTGTAGTTCTCCGATCTACTCCTCTAGTTCTTCCTCATTGTCGCGGACCGAAGTCCGATCCCGCGATAGCTCTTGCCGTCGTTGTCGGTTTTCAGCGACTGCTCCATCGGGAGGGGAAAACTATATGATCTGTATTTGGTATTCTGCAATAAATAATCGTCGGGGGAAGCTTCCAGGGTGGCCCGAAGTCGAGTGAGTAACTTCCTTCGCCTCGCAACCAAAAAACCCGCGCAGGTAGTGTCGACACCACTACCGTAATATTGCGTGAAAACGTCTTTCACCTTTTCAACACTGAAATTTTAGTTCTCTACTGTTGCTGTGAAATGACATCGTGTACATTTAGCTTTCAATCAAGTCGCGTGTACCTTGAATTTCTATAAATCATCGATGTCCGGTATAATTAGCGAAAATTGATCGGCTTTATATAGTATCAGTGATCGAATTTTTTCGGCGTCCGAAGTCGTCTGTTTCCCCTCTTATGGATATTACTTCGTTGAACACGGGGCAGTGATATGAGAAGTAAGATATGTATGGCTCGCAGGCTACATCCATTCCTCTTGAAAATGTCAGGTCAATGCTAGTTTGGCCGAGCGTGGTTTTCTCGGACATTCTGCTGTCGAGTCTCAACTGGTATTTCGAATCCAGAAAATCCGTCAATTTCAGTCGTTCGTCGACTGAGGCATTGAAATCTCCCATCATGATCATGGGCATGGAATTTCCTACGCTTAGAAGAGGGATCTCATATTTGCGTAATTTTCGATCCAAAAATTCATCAATGCCAAAAAGCCGATTCCCTGGTGCACGTAGAGGACAATGAGGTCGAAAACTTGCCCCGTGGCGCAGCATACCTGCGAAATTGTCATATCCCCACAATGCACGGCGTCTGTGTTTTCTCGATCCTGCGTTTCGGCAAGTATGGGTGTCAGTGTAATTATTCCTGATTCATTCTTTGCGTATAAAGCTACTCCGCCCGCCCGTGTCCCGCATGGGCATAGATCGATCATGTGGAAGCCTCCGATGGCGATTGGTTGTGTTTCGTGATTCATCCATGTTTCCGTCACCGCCAAGAGATCTGTTTTCTTCAAGAGAGAATCTGAGGAAATGTCCTCGGCGTGAGCTTTCAGGCTCTGTACATTGATGTTCACAATCATCAGATGTCTACTGTCTTTATCGACCCCATCGATGAATTCCTTTATCTTTGATGTTATCGTAGGAAGACGATGCCTTGCTAATCGATTATACTCGTTTTGTACTTCTCGGATTGATGTTGTATTCGAGCCTCTGGCATGATGAAGCAGAAGTCATCAGCGACGTTTGTGAGATAGAGACCTTCCAAGTGTGTCACTCTGCTGATGGCTACGTAAACGAGCTGTTGTTTATGATTCTTGTGGTAGTCATAAACAATATGTTCGAATGTTCCCCCTTGTGATTTGTGTATTGTCAAGGCGCAAGCCGGTAATACGGGGGAATTGGAGGCGCCGACATTTGATTTTCGGAGTGATGTTGATGTTGAGTGATCGTAGGTCGATTGGGACCCAGCGATCATCCAGCTCTCCAGATTTGCTCCGTTTATGAGCTCTATTCTTGACACGGATACGGCGCCCTATCAAGTCTGATTCGAATTCCAGCCATAGGCGTCTATAGTCGTGTTCATCCTGTGAGTTAGGCAAGTGCTCGATATAACGTAATGCGCCGATCGCTCCGTTGACCAGTCCGTCTTCCACATTAATATTTGTGGTCAACATGTATGGATAACCTTTGGTCAATGTTATCTGGTATGCCAAGTTGCCGGTGTCGCGTGAGTTCATTTTGTGGACTTTTCCGATAGCTTCCCGCCTTTCACCATCGGTTCTGTACCCGGTATACGAATCCATCGCGATTGATATTTCCGTTGTCTCTGTTGTCGGAATAGCATTGGCGTTATATTTTTCGACGTCTGCGTTATTGAAATATAAGCGCACTATTTCTGTAGATAGATGAGTTTCGCACCATTCTCGTGTTCGGAATCGGGATTGAATGATATCCGTTTCTTGTGGCGTCAACGCTTCGCCGCTCCCAATTTTCGTCCGAATATTCGAGAAGTCAATATTCTTCTGACGCATGACTTGCACCAAAGGGAAATAATCCAGAGATTGCCAGAGAAGCGGCCTCCCTCCAAGTGAGTTCTTCGTAGCACTATAAACTGGGGCAGCATTGACCGGAGGTAATTCTTTCAAATCACCGCAAACAATGAGGTCTACGTCGCCGAAGTTTTGATCGAAGTTCCCGGTCATGCTCTGTAGCCTTGAGTTGATGGCGTTGAATAAATTCGAACTGCACATACTTATTTCATCGACTATGATACATCTCACATTTCGAAGCAGATGGCGATAAGTTTGTAGGAGATCATGAGATAGTTGATGAGTTTGTCTCGATATTGTCAAACGGAATGCACTATGCACAGTCACTCCGTCAAGCGCGACAGCTGCTTTGCCTGTTGTTGCTGTAGCAATGTAAGCGTTATTGATAGAATCATGCTGTTGGGAGTATCGGTTGTAGGTTTCCATCAGAGCCTTGAGCGTGAACGTTTTGCCGCTTCCCGCAGGTCCGGTCAGGAAAATTTGTATGGGTTTGCGATCGGGTGTTGATAAGCGATGTATCACTTCTAAGATTAGTTCGCGTTGTTCTGCATTCGTTTGACGCATCATGCCACAATATTCTTCCTTGCTCATTACATTGCTCCGCGGTTTTATCGCGCTCACTGCGGCATGATTCGTGAACTCCAGTATGTCATCATTATTGGGCTCGTTCATCGGATCGGAAGTCATATTTTGTGGCTCATCAGGATTCGCTTCAGATCTCTCGTCCATCGTGCATAGAGCTTCGATTTCTTTCATAATAAGTTCTATGTCGATATTGGATTCGAACTCCTTTCGTCGCTCCAGGATCTGCCACTCTTTTTCAGTATAGGTATCGAGGAATGCGTCCCGGTCTATGATTTCTATGAGCTCATTACGGAAAGGCTCGTGGAAAGTTACCATCTCCCGCTTATAGTCTCTCACATCTTTCTGATCGTAGTTCCGGTATCTTATCACTCTACAAATCTTCCGGCGTCTGTAGGTAGTGACGTTATTCTCATCATCACTGTTATCAGAATGGTTATCCATTGAATCGCTGGGATCGTTGTCGTCTTGTCTTTTCGATCCAGATTCGTACCAGGCCGAGAATTGAGCCAGAGTGATGTCTTCCAAGGCAGAAGGGCGTTCCTCGTACTTCTCAATTATCGATTTTGTCCATATATCGGTGCTCTCCGCGGGTATGCCTTCGCTGTCCATTGTTCTCTTTGCCTTTCGAGCTTTATATCTTTCATGCGAACACATAGTGGGTATCATAACAGTAGCTCGTGATGCTTTACTCATCGGTTGCCGTAACAGGTACCATGCTGCTTCTTGAGCTGGCATCTCGACGCTGTTGAGCATTTTGAGCCCGACCTTGGACATTAGTTGAGCCTGATCGTACTCCGGATTTTGCTCGTGAATTTTCAACAATTCTTGGTGCAGATTGCTGATTCCCCTGTTCGACTTGTTGACGTATTCGACGACATATGTTGCACAAGAGTAAGGATCTAGAATAATTTGTAGGTCCATGTTGGACTTCAGCACTGAAGCTATCCATGGATTAAAGGTGTTTATGAATATTTGTGACATATCCCTCTTGAAAAGAACTGTGGGACGCTTCAAACTAGACCTTATCAAATCCAAGTAGGATTTATAATCACAGCTTATGTCTAGTAAGAAAGCCTCGATCGAGTCATAGGCTTTGGTTTCCAGTTTTTCCCGAGCATCCATCCATTTTTTTTGAGGGTTCTTCTCCGGGGATCTTCCTTGCTTAACGGCAAGAGGACCGTGGTGCGACAAATGGGCCAGTATGGGATATCGAAACGGCAGTGCTTCTCGCCTCTTTTCTTGCAGGTGAAGGTGTGCGCGTGAGTTTGATTACAAATCAGTTCTTGGTCCTCAAGATCGCTTTTATCGACGCTGCATAAGTCGGTTATTAACTGAACTGTGTGAGGCATGTGTTCATCTAGACTCTCATTCGGATCTTCTGCCAACCACAATAAGATATGAGCGTGGGGACTGCCCCGATGTTGAAACTCGATTCGCAAAAAGTAGTCAATGACTCTATGCTTGCCGAACGGATTGTGAGATTTTTTGACTGTAGAATGGACATGACAACTTGAACAAGCTTG